CTGCTGCAACAGAAAACCTTTTACTTTGCAAGAGGCTCTCATGTGGCGGGAAAATTCCATCGTGCCGAGGCACCAAAATCACTGGGTTGTGACAGCGGGTAGCCCTCCTCTGAACCCTTTCCAGATCCTCCGTTTCCCTCTTCAAGTGCGGCACCCAAAACTGGACACAGTACTCCAACTGCAGCCTGACTAGTGCTGCATAGAGGGGGAGCATCACCTCCCTCAATCTGTTGGTCATGCATCTGCTAATACACAAGGTGCAATTGGCTTTGTTGCTGGCCTCGTTGCACTGCCAGCTCATGTTCATCTTGGAGTCAACTATGACTCCAAGATCTCTCTCAGCCTCTGAGCTGCTGAGGAGGACATCCCCAAACCTGTAGGTGTGCTGGGGATGATTCATTCCTAGGTAGGGTACCTTGCGTTTATCTTTGTTGAATTGCATCCTGTTAAGTTCCGCTCATTGATCCAACCTGTCCAGGTCAGCCTGTAACTGCTCCCTGCCCAATGGTGTATTAACTTTGCCCCATAATTTGGTATCATCTGCGAACTTGGAGACGGTGCTCAACACACCCTCATCCAAATCACTGATGAAGATATTAAATAACACTGGCCCAAGGACCGAACCCTGTGAGACCCCACTGCCCACCTCCTTCCAGGTTGAAAATGACCCGTCCACCACCACTGTCTGGGTGCGGTCCCTAAGCCAGTTGGCCACCCACCTGACTGTGTAGGCGTCCACTCCACAGCCCGTTAGCTTCCCTATGAGAATAGAATGAGAAACTGTGTCAAAGACCTTCCTAAAATCCAGGTAAATGACATCGGCCTCCGCTTCTGTGTCAAGGCAGTGTGAGACCTGGTCATTAAAGGCTATAAGGTTTGTCAGGCAGGATCTACCTGTGACGAACCTGTGCTGGTTTCCATTCAGCATCGTTTCCCCTGCTGGGCTTTCACAAATATGCTCTTTGATGATTTTTTCTAGTATTTTCCCAGGGATAGAGGTAAGACTGACTGGCCAAAAGTTACCCTGCTCCTCCCTTCTCCCCTTCTTAAAAATGGGCACCACGTTGGCCTTTTTTCAGTCCTCAGAGACCTGTCCAGAGCACCATTAGAGCTCAAACAACTGTGCCAGTGGCTCAGCAATGATACTGGCCAATTCCTTCAGCACCTGTGGATGGAGGTCATCCAGGCTGGCTGACTTGTACCCATCCAGCCCTTCCAAGTACTCTTTAACTAAGTCAGCACTAACCTTTGGCGGTCTGGTGCCTTTTGGACATCTGTCTATGTTCAAGGTGGGGGACTGTCTTGGTCAGTATTAAGGAATACATTGAAGAGCTCTGCCTTTTTGTCTGCATCAACCACCAACTAACCTGATTTGTCTAGTATTGCTTCCTTTGTCTGGCATGACTTTTCTCTCATTGTGGTTACCTCCTCTTCTTCCCCAGTATGGGTTCTGTGTATTTATTTTACCTTTGTCCTCATGTTGATTTCTGAGGGGTTTTATGGAGGGATACAAAAGGCTGTTGCATACCACTCTATACCAGTTAGCTCAGCCGCCGAAGCCGTAGAGGGTGCGGCCCTGGCGCTTAAGGCAGCTATTTGGCCTTAAGGCAGCTATTGGATTATAAACCCTGGGTGAATGGGAGGCTCACTCACTTGCAAGTAACTGAATTCCCATTCCTATTCAGTTAGGTTTGTGAAGGCCTGTTCATTGCAGTGGGAGAGCAAGGCCTGTCATGGTGTGCTTTCCTACGTCGGACTCCCAGTGGCTGTTCAGGCTCCAATGCACTTGGTGAGGTGAGCCAGAAGATAGGAAGGTCTAGATATAAATCACGGGGGCCAGGGACAGACATTACACTTTTACTAGTATAACTGATCAGAGACCAGTTTATACCTGTAATAGAACAGAAGTTCAGCACACAAAGACTGGTTTAAAAATAGCAAAACCCAGTTTAAGATTTCCCCCCCCCCCCAACAAAGGGGGAATGTGTGTTCTGTTCTCTTATCTAAACTACACCACTTACAGAAAACTCTATAACTTAGGTTGATTCTGCCTTGGGCATCTTGAATGTCTGTACTTAGCCTGGATGTCCCTGATTTCCATTCATCTAGGCTGCTGGAGGCCTATGTATGGGACTGGGTAGGTGAGGCTTCTTGCTGTGTACCATCAGACAACAGCTTTAATTTGTCTTTTGGCACCTACTGGATTGTAATGGACCTGGGGGGGCTCTCTGAATTCCATTGTCCCTGAGTATCAGTCAGTCTAACTCCCAATAGATTTTCAGTATATGGCCTGTGAACGGGTGAGCCATTCACTCAATTCCTGCAGTAGAAAAGCTGAGAGACCATAAAAGCTCCCTTTCTCCTTGCTGTAGACAAAAACTACAAACTCTTGGTTTCTGTAGTGTGTGAACTTTATCGAACATTTAACATGATTTAAACAAACAATGAGGGAAACATGGAGCTGGGAGAATAGAAAGGGGCACATGGAAATGAAAGGCTGAGAGTGTAAATGAAGATGCATGCACACACATGCACATGCATGCACGCACAAAACTCCAGGCCTGAAAAATGATGAGAAAACTTCTGACCCAGAGTGCAAATGTACCAAGACATAAACTATATAAAGGGCAAAAATCAAATAATAAATAAAGTATATACAAGGCACAGAAAGTAACAATAAATAAACTATGTACAAACTGAAATTAGAACCAATACATAAAGTATTTAACAAGGAGAAGTCAAACATATGGACCAAGGTAAATGGTGAAACCAAAGTTACAAGTCAGCTAAGTGCCAAGGGAGAGCTCAAAAACAGGTAATATAAACAGGCCACAAAGAAACAAGTCTCTGTGCAACTAAGCAAAACCTGAGCCAGCACACCAGTGGATCTGAACTCATGAATTACAGTGCTCCAGAAGAAAAAGTACTGGGCAAGGATTTGGAGCAAGGGTGCAGGAATGAATAAGCAGAAGCAGAAACATCTCTCGTGGCTTGGCTAAATCACCTTCTGAAATGACAAGTCCTCCTAGGAGAAGCCTTATTTTGCCTAATATACCCAGCAGGCTGCCACCTTCCCAGGAGTCCCCTCCATGGCTAAAGCTTCTTTCTATGGCAACATCCAGCCAGGGTTGTATTGCAAGCACCACCATAGGCTTGTGAAAGGATTCTCCCATCAGCAAGCCCAACTCTTGAAGCAAGGCTGGGGGGGGCGTTCCCCCTTTCCATCCACTGAGATGGAGAAGGGGAGCTACTCTTCTCCTCTGCCACTTTATGTCCTAGAGGAGTACCTTGCATTGAGTAGGCTAGATGTTAGCCTTTGAGGTACACTTGCTTTGGGGGGAAAAGAGCTGTTCTGGGCCATTGCATGCCAAAGCCATGAGAGCTGCATAGAGGACTCCCAGGCATGAAGCACTGAGTTAAGCAGGGCGAAGTGCCTTGGGTGAATATGGGGCTCCATGATTTTCATTTCAAGAAAGGTGGGGAGGAAAGAACATCGTCAGTCAGGAGCTGATCTGAGCAGCCCAAGATGCATGGAATAGACAGGTCTCAAAGTAGGGATCTCAGCAATGACAGGTCAGGAACACTGCCTTGGTAGTACCACCCTGGAATATGCCTTTTTCTTTTTCCCCCTGCCTCAGCAGCCACCTTTCACTTTGGCCATGACTAGAACAGGGCCTCAAGCTGCCAGATTATGTCCCTTTAGGTCTGGCAGCTAAGGTTACTAAAGAGTCTTAGTTTGAAGCAAGGCTTAGGGTGGAGGGGAAAGAGAAGGATCCCCTGAGAGGAGGGCCAGTGTGGGGGAGGAGTGACCCTCCAAGATGGAGCACTATTGCATGGCCATCCTCCAGGCTGGAAGAGCTGGTAGCCTTTGGTCATAAAGGATTCCTGGAGGAGAGGGGTGCTATTGCTCTGGCAAAAGGGGACACTGAACTTCTCTGGAAGAATCTGGGGGAGAGGAAGGTGCAAGTCTACATTTCCCAGGCTCTTCATCTGCCAGAGTCCAGAAAGGCAGCGCTTTGTCCTCTCCTTGGCTGCTGGAATTCCCTCAAGATTCCCTATGCACCCTCAACAACCTTGTCCCACACATGCCACCTCCCATAGTGGTGGGGGTGACAGCAGCCTTTGGAAGATCATATTTGATTCTTTCAAACCCCGTTGTGGCCTGCTGCTGCAGAGTTCTCGTGCAAATGACCTGTGGTGAGTGGCAGCTACGCCACTGATTCTATGTGGCTTCCTATGTATATAGTTTCCTTTTCCCCTAATTATTTCCCATTATTTTAAATGGTTTATTACGGGCTTAATTATTAAATAAAACCAACCATTTCTATTCAGCAGGTTTTAATGAACATACCCTCTTACAACATGCATTAGAACAGCAATGGCCCTACCTCATTCCTGAGCCCCTTCTTCCTGCTCAAAGTAGTCTGCCAATGCCTCCCTGACAAGAGTCCCCTGCTGGCTGTAGTTTTCAAGAAGTACTGGCTCTGGCTGCTCATAACGCTGAGAAAGTCTTTCAGCCTCCATCACCCACCCAACCCCTAGAGTCTCACCCCTTGTCTCACAGATGTTGTGTAGGATGCAGCAGGCCACCACCATGCTGGAAAGGTAACGTTCGGACGCATCCAAGCGGACATTGAGGGCTCTCCACCTGGCCCTGAGGCGTCCAAATGCATGTTCTACCATCAGCCAGCAGTTGCTTAGCCGATGATTGAAAAGTTCTTTCCGGGGGTCCAGGTACCCTATGAATGGCTTCATGAGCCATGGTAGGAGGGGGTAAGCTGGGTTACCAATAATCAGTGGGGGGATTGTCACTCCATTGATTTCAATGCTGGAAGCACCCATGGCAAAATCTCCCCTCCTCAGCCTGTAGGTATGCTTCTGGTTCTTCCTCCCCAGGTGCAATATCCCTGCTTGTCACTCCATTGATTTCAATGCTGGAAGCATCCCCGGCAAAATCTCCCCTCCTCATCAGGGGGACAAGGCTGGAATTACGGAAGACCCTAGCGTCATGCATTTTGCCAGACCATCCAGCAGTGATATGTGTGAATCTCCCACAGTGATCCACAAGGCCCTGCAGCCCAATAGAAAAGAAGCCCTTTCTGTTCATATACTCTGAGCTACGGTGGGGAGGGCAAAGGATGGGGATGTGTATGCTGTTGATCACACCAATGCAATTCGGGAACCCCATGTGGGCAAATCCATTGATGACTTCCTGGGGATTGAAAAGCCCGAGGAAACGTGGGGCAAGCACCTTCCTGATGGCTGTGCACACCTCACGAATAGCTGATCCAGCAGTGGATTTGCCCACGCCAAACTGGTTGGCCACAGACCTTTGGCAGTTGGGGGTTGCGAGTTTCCAAATGGCAATTGCCACCCGCTTTTCAACACTCAAAGGGACTCGCATGTTGGTCGTTTGCCTCCTCAGCTCTGGAGTCAGCTCTGCACAGATCTCTAGGAATGTGGCCTTTGTCATCCTAAAGTTTTCACGCCACTGTTGATCACCCCATGTCTGCAGCACTATCCTCTCCCACCAGTCTACACTTTTCTCCTGTACCCAGAACCGACGGTCAACAGTCTGAAGACGTTCCCAAAGCAGGCCATCCTTGTTCGTGTCCTCAATATCATCTTCTTCTGGCAAGTCGCAGTCACCTGCTGAGAGCATGCCATACAGTTCGAATGTTCTCCTTGTGAGAGCTTCTGACATTGCAGCCTCGCTAACATGGCTTTGGAAAAGCAAGTCACACAGTTGGGTGATCAGGCTGGTGAGAGTCATGAGGAGATTACGGACTCGTCGCCGTGAGTCCAAGTACATTATAAGGACCTGACGGCGTTGAGCATTCAGTGCCTGGAGGAGCTCTAGGTGGGAGGCATCCATGCTGTATCTTTGCATGGCATGGAAGATCTTCAGAACCGTTGGAGTGGTCTTCTAGCCTGACTAGTATCTAGAGGAATGACAACCTGAGACTTCTGAGTACCTTGGGGCTAACTTCTCAAAAGATACCAAGGCATATCCTAGAAGGCACGGGGAAGCAGGGCCACAAGGGGAAATGGGACATATGACTCCTCACGGCCTAGTAGAGAGAGCTTATTCACTGCTTCCCATGAGAGGACTAACCTGGTTTACGAAGATGACAACTGAAAGTCTGTTAGCACCTATCACAGTTCAGTTTTTTCACTGGTATACAAATTGCTTTAAAGTATACCGTTTCTGCCTTTGGCTGTCTTCTCCCCCTGAGTCAGACAAGAGTCAGAATTTCAAGCGGACCATTCTCGCAGATTCGTCTTCTACGGACAGGGCACAGAAAGGGACACAATGAACATACTGACCTGTAGATTATACAAACAAAATGTGTGTTTTGGTGAATTGCACCATAGTTTACAGATTATCATAGTTTTAAAATAAAAAAATATCTTTGAAGGATTTCATTTCATTGTCTGTATCACATGCAACTGTACCATTCCTACCTAGAATCACCAAGCAAATAAAAACCCCTTGGAACTTCAGTTTACTAGTTTAGGGACTTACTATTTAGGATTAACTGCTAGGGATTTAGTAAAAGGGCAGCTTAGAGAGTGAAGGTTTTCAAAAAGGCACTTACTTATTCAGTAGTGTATTCAATTTACTAATCACCGGTGATCAAGAATGCTGGATGCTGTCTTGATCACTGGAAAAGTAGGGTAGTGAATGGTAGTTGGAGACCAGATAACTGGACTAGTCAAGTCACTTTGAAAAACTGAGTGGCACAATGGACAAATGTTGACCTTCTAGTATATCAGCTGACAGTTAGGGTGAGATTCATGGCCTTACTCCAGTGATTCTCAAACAGGGACCATGTTACCTGTTGGGTGACTTGAGATCCTTGCAAGGGTGCTGATGGGTGACATGCAATATTAGCACTGGTAGGTGTGCAAACATGATTCACAAAATAAATCCAGAGATTTCAAATAGGAATCCATAGCGTTAAAAAAATTCTGACCCTCTGTGGTCTGAGTTCTCTGAAACAGAAGGATTGCTCTATTATTTTTCTGTAGTAAAAAAAATAGGGAAAACCAAGAACTTACAGTTTCTGAAGGGTGTCTTCAGCCTAATAAGGGGTGCCTTGAGTCTAAAAAGGTTGAAAACCATTGTCTTACTCATTAAATTCCAGAGGCAGTCCTGACCCCTAAGTGAATTGAAACTCTTGGTCTATTATTTTCCTGGGGTTAAGGGTATTTGCTAATGCAAGTCTTGAGGGAAAGTTCACCTTGGCATAACTATTTTCTAATATGTCTGAAGTGTTACAAAATATCCTATATATACATTACACTAGGAGTCTGTGCAAGAGGAGCAATACTGTGGACAAAGGGCAGGCCCCAAACTGTTCTAATTCTGCCAAAAAGAACACTCGCCTCCCCCCACCCCCCAAAAAAGAGACCTAGACAAACCAAAAATGTCAGCTCTCAAAATGTATATTTAAACTGGTGTTATTTTCTGTGTTGATTTAAATTGCCATAGGCAGAAAAAAAACAACAGCAAAACCTTTTAAAGTTTGTGTTTCATTGCATTAATTGATTGATGAATTGGAAAAAAAACAGACGTTTTGCAAGCTCCCGTTAATTAAATTTTTACTGCAATTTCAGCGACCTCTGGCTCAATTTCAGCCACATCTTAAGAAAAAAAATACTTCAGGCACCTTAAGTTCCAGTTTTTTTAAAGGGCAAACAATGCATGACCTTCTTCTTACTGTACTTACTTTACATGAAGGCTTCCTGTATGCCTGCAGCGATTCTGGATTACTCAACATGATGAGCAATGACAGCGTTCCAGCAGTCACAGGACTAAACATTCTCCACTTCAATTACAAAAGGCATCAGGAAGTGAAGTATTTCTTGGGAGCCTGAAAGTAAGATGAAGTTGTTTTTTGATATGACACAGTCCAAAAGAATTTAATACCACTCTTGACCAATATTTATGTAGGCAACAGAAAATCTTCTACATAAGAGAGAGAAAGTTGGCACCTACTACAAGCATGTACAGCAGAAGGAGCCACTGGATCTGAGGCTTGATATATTAAGTCAGGCTACGGTAGGCACAATGATCAATTTAGACATACTCTGTACACATTCCTTCAATGTGTGGATGGGAAAATGGAAACAAGTTATACAGGTAACAGTTGTTCTACAGGCAGAAATCAATACAGTAAACAGTAAACATTACCAGCCAGGCTGCCAGCGATTTTGTCTTTATTTAGCAGGTTCAAGGTCCCTTCTAATCAGTATTCTGATTCAAAATGTGTATGCTAGTATTTAGGGGCTTCCGGAGGAGTGAACTTAGGGATCTAGACTTTAAAGGAGTTGAAAAAGTTTTTTCAACTCAATATTGAAAAATATTGAGTTTTTTTCAACTCAATATCATTGTTTGTTTTACTTGGGAAGGCTTGGCTTTCTTGTCATCATCATCTTCATTATTTTTATTTGTATATTTAGATTTATCTCCTAACCGCTAAAGCTACAGGTTTCTTTTCACCACTATCTCTGTGTTTTGTGAATGGAGGAAAGGAAGAGCAGATAGCAGAGATCTGTGCAAGTATGAACTCCCTTCACTCTTTTTCCAGCAGCACCAGTTGGCTTAGTCATCACACTTAGACAGATCACAGAATCATAGGAATCAGAAAATTAGGGTTGGAAGGGACCTTGGGAGGTTATCTAGTTCAACCACTGCTGAAAGCAGGACCATTCCCAACTATATCATCCCATCCAAGTCTTTGTCTATCCAGGTCTTCAAAACCTCCAAGGATGGAGATTCCACAACTTCCCTGGGTAACCTGGTTCCAATGCTTTACTACCCTCCCAGTGAGAAAGTTTTTTTCCTGATATCTAAACTAAACTTCCCTTGCTGTAACTTGGTGATAGTGCCACTGTTACCGAGCTGATTCTATCCCACTTCCCTTCACATCTTGCAACAGAAGGGTCCACACAGCCCATAGACCACACCAGCTTGAGCTAAGGGCCCCTTGCCGCACAGATACCATCATCATTGCACCATGAAGTGGCACCCTGGTCTCAGGCTCTGCTGCTGCTCTGAGAGCTGTGCCACAAAGTAGTACGCTAGCCCCTGGGGAGGGGCAGGAAGTGGAAGCTGGAGGAGGGAAGTGCGGGGAGCCCTGAGACCCCAGCTGCTGCACCGAAACTACTGCGGGGAGATGTGGCTAGGTGAGAGCTGAGGACTGCACACTAACCCCTCATGGGTCATATGCAGCTTCTTGGCTGCCAGTTGGACAGAGGTGGCAATTATTTGGGCCTGTGGGCCACATAGAGAGTTTTGCTGAACTGTCATGGGCCAAGTCAGCAGCACCTTTCACCCCACATGTGCAATGGCCCACAAAAACTCCCTATGTAGCCCACAGGCAGGCAGAGAGCAGTGTTCAAGAGTAGGACAGGTGGGTGAGGGTGGATCATGGTGTGGGGTCATGGGACGGTGACAGTGCAGGGCTAGGGCAGAGCCGCAATCTGCTGCCCGCACACCCCTGTGACGGGTGCAGATTCCACAGGCAGGGGCCTGCCTTGGGCTCTGGCCCCATGCTGTCACCACTGGTACCTGTGTAGCATGTGGCCCAAGAGACCCTTAACTAAAGCTGGTGTGGCTGGTCCATAGGCTGTGTGGCCCCTTCTGTTGCGGCAGTGGATGCGGGGCAGAAGAGCTGGGATGCCTGGGCAGAGGCCCCAGGTCCAATGAAGATGGCAGCCAGAAAGAGCCATCCCCACCAGGGCTGCTGGGAAATGGAGGTCAGAAGCCTTGTTGCCCCAGATCCGTTGTGTGTCCAGGGGCAGAGGAACTGGCAGCATGTGCCATGGCCTGGGTTGCCTCTGCACCTGGGCTGGGGAGGGCTGAGGGACCTGCTGCAGGCTGGATAAAATCCCTTGTTGGGCTGAATCTGGCTCACGGCCTGTATTTTGCCCACCCCTGGTCTATATGGTGTCACACTGCTTAATCTTTTACCATTCAGCTTGCAAAAAAGGTCCTCATCACAGACGGGCTCTAGTTTTGTCTTTCTGAACAAAGACTGAATGATCCTGGGGTTTTTCGCAACATAATGGCTAGCACACTCCTGAAATCACCAGTCACTAGGGTTTAGGTTTTTGCAGTTCAGAGGCTATTGTGATTTGTGCCAGTGGATTTTTGCCATTCACTAGCAGATGGCAATTATTGATCCTTTTTCTCTGGCTCCAGCCCCAGGCATATTTTAGCAGTATTTGGGACCAGCCCCCAAATGCTGAAGTATAGCATGCTTACTAACCTCTTTACCATTTGCCAAAATGAATTTCATAGGACATACCAAAACTCAGGCCGGGAGTCAGAAGTAGGGTAAGAGAATAAGCCTGAAGGAAAATATGGTTTCTTTGCTAAAAAAAAGGCTACAAAATGTATGCTTGTTTCCATGTAGGCAAGCTGGAGAATAAAGGATATACCAGTAGCTGCTATTGTCCTGCGTCATTATTTGGAAAGCAGTTTAGGGGTAAGTATCAAAATGGATCTCTTGTCCACAAACTGTTTACTTTACTCCTTGATAAATCTAATCTTTGAATCACAGACCCTCATTCTTCATCTTTCTCTCTCTCTCTCCTCCTTACCCGGTTCACCTTCCTACCTCCCTTAGGCCAAAAACAAATGTTTTTGTAGTGGAGTTACATTGTAAAGTCCACAAAATATGCGAGGGGCAGGGATTGTTTTACTTTTTTATGACTTTGTTGGCTGAGCATTTTGCTAGGTATATCCCTTCATGGGCTCTGGGAGAGACAGGGAAGATGACACAGAAAGCAGCTCAGACAAACACCCACGTTGTAAACACCTCTTTGCTGCTTGCCTGGCCAGTTCCCCCTGCAAGAAGTTCACCACTTTTATGAATTCTATGTAATTGCTCTTTTGAAAGCTCCTGATGAGGTCAGAGAATAGAGTTACAGACAAATCTTAAAATGACAAAAAATCCACATAAAGATCACTAGGTATGTATTTTAGTGGCAAGAGACAGAGGGGCAAGCCACATTTTTGGGCTCCTTTTTTCTCCATCTTGATTATGTGGCAGTGAAAAGTACTAGCATCAAAGTCATAGTTACCACCACTATACCAGGTATTTTAAAGGCAAGTGCAAGGTCAGACACAATGAGATGGAGATGAAGAATAGAGGACACAGGCTTGGGGAGATTTTGAAAAGAAATTAATCATGATAGACAGCAAACTGAACATAAGTTCTTAACACCACGGCATCGTTAAGAAAGCTAACATGAATCTTGGATATGTAATAAGGGGACTATACCTGGAGCAGGAAAGTTTAAACTCTTTATGCAGCTTGGGTGATATTATTGTGGAGAGAGACAGTTAGATGCGTTAGAATGAAGTCAGGCTGGAACTGCACTTTATCAATCAACTAAATTAGAAATGCATAAGCTTTGCAGAATATCATGAAGTTATTGTTTATGAAAGCTTATGCATCACCAATTTAACTTACCTATAAGGTACAATACAACACTATCCTGCCTTTTGACTAAGATCATTGAAATATGGATAGTGCAATGTCTCAAAAACAAACAAACAATTAATTAAAAGTAAAAAGGTCCCGTGACAATTTTTAGGGGCCTAGAAAATGCTATGGAGAGATTTAAACCTTAGTTTAGCACATTTAGCAGACAATTAGAACATTTTAAATCACATTTGGTACTTAGCTAGCTGTACTTATTATAAAGTGCATCTATACTATGCTTTGTACCTGCTTTTCTAATAGTAATTAGATTTTGTCTAGCAGAAAAAAAGCAAACAAAACCCCCAAACCATAAGGTAATTGCTGGGAGCTTAATCTTTATATAATTAGGATAGAAATAATCTGTTTATTTTCTGGAACAGTTTACAAAGGGCTGTAGTGGTTTCTACAATGATGAAGCAAGATCAAATCTTTTACATTGCACCCTTTGCTTGAACCATTTTTCCTCCACACCAGAGCCCAAAATAAAGGAACAAGTGCACAGAAATTTTAAAATCGCAAATACTTTATCTGCCACCAGGTGTGCGAGTTGGGGGGCGGGGGAGGTGCTTTAAAAGAATGGTGTACATGAAAAACCTAGTCCCTAAAAGCAGTCCCTAAAATCCAAATGACTTCTTATGACAAACCTAAAGAAATAGAAGCAATTCAAAGAGCAGACACCTCCCTCCCAAGGCCCTGAAGGTTCTCAGCGTTGGGACACAAATCCCACTGGCAAGGGTGGAAGGGTTATACCCATGGTCTCAATAAAGCTCTATAAGGAACATTCCAGTTTTAATGAGGCTCAAGGGACAGATCCTCCAGCTCAGTCTGAAGAAAGAGCGGTGGCAGGCGTCAGGAAGTTACAGTTCACACCAGATCCGAACTCTGGGAGGATGAGCAACACCCCTCGGAGCTGGAGCAGCGGATGGGGACGGCTTTCCCGGGGAAGCAGGCATGCCCCCCTCCGGCAGGAAGGCCCCCCTCCCCAAATCCCACAGCCGAAGACTGCCCACATAGACTCAATTTCTCCCCACGAGGCTACTCACCTTCCCGGCTCATGGCGGGAGCGGAGACAGAGAGCGTGGGAGGCCGGGCGGGTTGGGGAAGATCAGGGAGACGATCAGAAGTGAAAGGCCGGGCTAGGGCACGCTACACACGGGCCCGGGGCCGGGCGAGCCACTGGCCCCAGGGGAGGCAGGCACGGCCCCCCCGCTGCGGCCGGCTGCGGCCACCGTGGCTCAGAGGCGCTGCAGGTCACCCCCTCGGACGTGCCAGCGGCGACCACGATCCCGCTGCCGGAGGCAAAGCGAGCGACCCCGCGAGCTGTCACGGGGGCGGCCTGGGCAAGCGGCCGCGTCTCTTCGGGGCGGACGCGAGGAGAGGGCTGAGGGCCCGGGCTGACTATGCCAGGGGAGGGGAAAGGAACATGGCCGATCCCCGGCCAGCGACAACGGCCGCCGGTTTGAAAAACCCGCCCAAAGCTGGGATTTCAGAGCGCTGCAGCTCGTTTCCTCTAGGGGCAGCGGCGCTGCGAGCAGCCTCGCCCAGTCCCCGCGCGGCGCCTCCCTCCTCTCGCTTCCCCGAGTTCCCTTCCCCGCGGCCCGCAGACCCCGGCAGCGCCGTGCACCCGGCCCCGGAAGCATCACCCCTTTCCGCTCGTCGCTGCTCCGTGCCGCTCGCCTCCACACACCTCGTGCTTCAGGCCCGAAGCACCGTCCTCCCCCCGCCCTGCCCCGCCCGGCGCCCCCCACGCCCAGCCCAGTCTCACGACTCATCCCCGCGCCCGGCCCGGGCTCGACAAAGCGGATTCCCCAAAAACCCCAAGAGCCGCAGAAGAAAGGGCGCGGGGGGGACGGGACGGGGGTACCGACACCTGCCTCCTTTGTATTGCTAGTCCCGCCCAGTCCAGGAACCCTCCGAAAGGGAAACAAAACAAGTGCTAATTTACGACCAGTGCCAGACACAGGTCAGGCACCGGAACCGGCTGATCTTTAGACTAAAACAAAGCGGTATAGGGCGAGCCTTCCTAATTTTTTTCCACGTGAGGAAAACACGCCATGAATTAATGAAGTGACGCAAAAACCCACTTACTTGGGGACGTGGTTATTACAGTGAACAGCTCTTTTTTGATCGTGTGGGTGGCTCTGAAAAGAGCCTTTGGGGTGTGTTTTTCGCAGTTTAGACCTCTCGTTTCTTATAGACCGTTTTTACTTGCTCTTGGCCTTGTGGCTCTCTGTCTTCTTGGGCAGCAGCACGGCCTGGATGTTGGGCAGGACGCCGCCCTGCGCGATCGTCACTTTGCCCAGCAGCTTGTTGAGCTCCTCGTCGTTGCGGATGGCCAGCTGCAGGTGGCGGGGGATGATGCGCGTCTTCTTGTTGTCCCGCGCCGCGTTGCCCCAGGACCTCGGCCGTCAGGTACTCCAGCACGGCCGCCATGTAGACCGGGGCGCCGGCTCCGACCCGCTCGGCATAATTACCTTTCCGGAGCAAACGATGCACGCGGCCCACCGGGAACTGCAGCCCGGCCCGCGAGGAGCGCGACTTCGCCTTAGCCCGCACTTTGCCTCCCTGCTTTCCCCGGCCCGACATAGCAACAGATTTTTTATCACAACCTCCTCACTCCAAAACAGGACTAAATAATCGTGCTGACGTAACTATTCTTCCCTTTTTATCCCTTCTCCGGGAGGGCCTGCTGCTTCGTGATTGGCTAAAAACTGTCCCTAGGTTATCAACCAATGGGACGGCGGATCTTACTTTGGCCAATCAGAGGGTACAAGCGCCACAAGGACGATCCAATAGAGGGACACATCCTAGAGTACTCTAATTTGCATAAGCACCCTATAAATAAAGGGCACCGCGGCCATTTTAGCGATACTGTGGGTATTGATCTGTGGGAGGTAAATTGCCAAGATGCCGGAACCCGCCAAGTCCGCTCCCGCCCCCAAGAAGGGCTCCAAGAAAGCGGTTACCAAGACGCAGAAGAAGGGAGACAAGAAGCGTAAGAAGAGCAGGAAGGAGAGCTACTCCATCTACGTGTACAAGGTGCTGAAGCAGGTGCACCCGGACACCGGCATCTCGTCCAAAGCCATGGGCATCATGAACTCCTTCGTGAACGACATCTTCGAGCGCATCGCCGGGGAGGCGTCCCGCCTGGCGCACTACAACAAGCGCTCGACCATCACGTCCCGGGAGATCCAGACCGCCGTGCGCCTGCTGCTGCCCGGGGAGCTGGCCAAGCACGCCGTGTCCGAGGGCACCAAGGCTGTCACCAAATACACCAGCTCCAAGTAAAATATCCTGGTGTTAATATTTTAAACTCAACGGCTCTTTTGAGAGCCACCCACATTCACGACAGAAGAGTTGTATCACTGTCACATATTAATAGAGTCCTTAAATAGAAATACTTTGGGGGTGGGGGGGTATGTGTAAGAGACGTGACTGGTTATGTTCACCTAAAATCCTCTCTCACCTTTCCGCTGCTCATTCCAAGGTTATAAACCAACGGAATAAAAGCTTTGTTTTTCTCAAAGTCCATGGTTAAGTATCGATAATAGGACGGGGGAACGGTACAAAAATAAGCGGAGGGGAGGGGAGATAAGGTGATGGGGTTCAAAGACCATCCAGAGACTTGCCAGAAAGAGATGTTTGACAAATGAAGTGGGAGCCAGTAGTGGATAAAATCCCACACCAGGGAGGCGGGCTTTTCAAAGCCTTGGAGCTGCCCAATGCGCTCTCCCTTTTCACTCTAAGCGCTCGGAAAGGACCCCAGGCAACCGTAGAGGAAACAGAGGGCAGCTGCTGCAGAAGCCTAGTAGTCCTTTGTTGTGGGCAAGAGTTGGCTTCCGAGTTTCCCTGAATAGCGGCCTTACTGCTAAGAAATGCTCGATTATTACTGGGCCACTATGCCCCTGAGGGAGCTATATATTAATTGCCAGTTCCCATACGTTTCCCAGCCCCGGTACGTGAAATCCCCTGAAGATTAGCGACTAAATGGCTCTCTTTAGAGTTTTGCAAAGCAATCGAACCACGCGGGGAGAGAGGGGGAGGACTGAAGACACCCCGATCTTGTAAAGAAAGTGACTGCAGCCCACCGAGCACAGTCGGGGTAGCAGAGGTATATAGCCCAGGGCAGCGGATGAAGGGTGATAATAAACCGGTCTCTTGAGAAATACGGCACTTTAGCGATCTCTACTGGCCTATTTTTTTTTCTTTTTTCGTTAAATGCATTCCTTTTAATTCCCCAATTTAAAAGGGAACTAAAACAAAACGGTTTCAACAACCGGCACAAGCAGCTTCTCCATACACTTTGCCCATTAAGTTAAGCGTACTGAACTACAAAGCGGGCTCCAGTATTGCAGAGCTGCACCAGGTCGCCGACTGGACTCTTACCTCTTCTCCTATTGCAAGCTACTTTAACCCACTTGCTCTGATGGGCAATCAAGGAAGGGTCTGTGAAAGGAGGGATTCAGCTCTTTCTGGAAAATGTGGGTGGCTCTTAAAAGAGCCGTTGGGTGTATCTTCAAATCAGCTTACTTCTTCTTGGGCGCCGCCTTCTTGGCCTTGGCTGCCTTGGGCTTGGCAGCCTTGGCCTTGGCAGCCTTGGCCTTGGCCGGGCTCTTGGCGGCCCGCTTGGGCTTGGCCGCCTTGGCCTTCCTGGGGCTCTTGGCCGCGCTCTTCTTGGCCGCCGCCTTCTTGGCTTTCTTGGGGCTCTTCTTCACGGCCGGCACCAGGGTGCCCTTGTTCACCAGGCTCCGGAGCCCCAACTTGATGCGGCTGTTATTCTTCTCCACATCGTAGCCGCCGGCTGCCAGCGCCTTCTTCAGGGCGGCCAGCGACAGCCCCTTGCGCTCCTTGGAGGCGGACACGGCCTGGGTGATCAGCTCGGCCACGCTGGGCCCCGCGGGCTTGCGGGCTTTGGAGCCGCCCGCCGCCTTCCTCGCCTTCTTCGCGGGGGCTTTGGCTCCGGCTGCGGCGCCGGGAGACGCGGCGGCGGGCGCACTTTCCGACATGGCAGCGGGAGTCCAAAAACCAGAAAAAAAAATACTAGTGCTACAGTAAGTGTGACACGACCTTTATAGAGAAGAGCTGCTCTGTGATTGGCGCGTTACAGAGCCCGCCCACCTGCAAGCCAGGAAGGTCTCTTTCTTCCCTCCTGTTTGTGTTTCTTCAGAAGGGAAAAAAGTGTAATTTTTGCCCAGCGCCTGCCTCCATCTCACCCGATTCTCCTCCGAGTCCAGAGCAAAGCTTGCCTGTTCATCCAGGAGAAGCTTCCCCATGTAGAGACCCGCCGTGAGTACAAGAAAGAGGCAATAAAAGCCGGGGGCTGTGGCCGGAGAGAGCTCGGGAGAAGGAAACTTTTCTTTTTCCTCCTAAATTAAAACCATGTCGTCCCCAATCGAAGGGCAAATAATGTGGCACTTTATTCTTTAGAGGGTTTTCTTCATCTCGGGGGAGAAAGCCAGTCACTGGAGTCGATGTTTTTCTCCTAAAATAATTTCATATAGAAGCAAGTAACACAATCCAGTCCCTCAACTCATTCTTTCATATGGCTTAAGAATTGGCTGTCTTAGCCAAGTGTTTTACTTCTGAAAATCACTACATTTTGTTGAAAAATGCATCGTGCAGCATTACAAAGAGGTCATGAGAAGCTCATAGAGGAGTATGTATGCTCCTGAAATGGAGGTTGAAATAGTAGCCTTGATACACTTTTCCAGGTGCTGTAGGAAAAAAAAGTTCGGTTTTATCCTGTTATTTTTTGCATGTAACTGAAAATTTGTAGTAAGAACAGCATACTTTTGTTCTTTAAATGCAATAGTGAAGCTGCTGTAATGTTTGGGTCTCAAAGGAAACAGATGTGATTTGATACCTGTACATGATATTAAGTGAGAAATTGCCTTTAAGTAAAAAGCATGTGAAATAGAGAGCATATATTAAACATTATGAAACAGCAAATAATATTCTTTTCTTTCTCCATCAAAAATATTATACTGACTTTGGTTCCATGAACTGGGTAATCGACAAGAAATATTATTTAGTCTTTTAAGTATGGTATCTTCACTATGCATTGAATGCTTCATGCAACATATACCACTTTTTCTGAATTAAAAAAGGAGCCCTTTAGAAACCTTTAATATATTCTGCAGCAGGAA